GCCGGCTTGCCTGGACAGGATGGGACTCCAGAGAGGCGCCGCGGACGCCGAGTCTCTCTGGGAAGAGCCAAAACCCCACACAGCCCGACATAAAGTACAACTCCGTGGCAGATGAGGCTGAGTCGCATCGCGCGGTACACTGCCGGGCCGTGGCGAGCCGTGCCGTTGGCAAGAGCGGCAGGTTCGGCCGCCACGGCCAAAGCGGCGGAAGCCACAGCCTGCCGCGTAGGCCGTCTGCTCGACCGCGCTGTCGGCCGGCTTGCCTACCCGCTGCCCTGTCCGCCGCGACAGCCGTCCCGCTCTCGCTAAGCGCTCTAAAGCTCAGAGTGCCTCGGTGGCCGACCACGCCGACCACGCCAGCAGACGGCTCGAGAGACGAGCTCGTTAAAGTAGCGATTGCAGCCGCAAATTGTTGGCAGGGGAGGGGCCGGGGGTGCGGGCCCCGTCAGCTGCCCTGACATTGACGAGTGACTACTATACGCCCTCGCGTTTCAAGCGCCTGCTCTGATGACGTTTCATATTGGTTCCTGTCGGTGTTGTTGTTTGTCTCTTTTGGCGGTGGGTTATCGTTTCCCGCCTACTCGCAGCTTCGTACCAAGTTGAACACACTCTGCGTCTTATTTTGTCAAGTATTTCGCGTCTACCTCGGCGTCTACAGTTTACGCGTGCGAAGGGGACAGTCAGTGGGCCGTCCTGCGGCGATCTGACAGCAAGGCGCCACCACCAGTACGCAGGGCCACCAGCAGACTGATTCCGAGAGTCGCTTTCGTCGCTCTGTCTCTGTCGCACTCATGGGGCGTCCCGTAAAGGTGCGAGAGAGACAGAGCAGGGGGTGGGAATGGGTGGCCCGGCCGGCCCGAAATAGCGCACCCCAAAGATCCATGTGCGTCACATTCGACGGGGGCTGGGGGGCTCCACCCTCAGCTGCAGCAGCAACATGGGGTGGGGCGGGGCGGCTGGGTGGGGCCCATTGGGGTGGCTGCCTGCGGTTTGTTTGGATCTCGATTTACAAACCGTTCGTTCGAGGCGCGACCAAACTCCTGAAGAAACTGGAAACAACCCCGCTACACTGTAGACGCACAGCGGCTCGTCGCTCTGTCTCTGTCGCACACCTCCGCGACGATGGGGGCGTGGCCGTGCCGTGGACGGTCGGTCGCCAAGGAGACGGCGGACTTGTGCACCCCAAGGCGTGACGGCGTGACACCCGCATGCCCATGTCACGGCATTCTCCGGGGTGGGCGAGTGGGCAGCCCCAGAGGACGCCGCCTAGAACGGACGCTCTGCCTCACTCGCTCCGGGGCGTCCCGCATGGGTGCGAGAGAGACAGGCAGAGAGCGCACTGCGAGGCGCATTAGAGCCCCGTAATGTTTATCTAACTGAAGGCATAGGGGCTGGCGGCGGGCCGATTCCGAACAGGGTGCTCTGTCTCTCTCGCACCCCTACGGGACGCCCCGTGAGTGCGAGAGAGACGGAGCGCCACCAGCCTGGCAGTGCAGTGCCGCGAGGGTAGTGACGGCGACGAGCGACAGCCAATGAGCAACAGCGACACGACACCGCGTCGCCGCGTGGCCGCGTGGCGAGGAGGATGCGGGGTGGCGAGGCGCGAGTCCAGGGTTCAACGCCCGCCAAGGGGGTCGCGGCGCGCCAAGCAACGCCAAGCAACGCGCCAAGCAGGCCGCGCTCTTTTGTTGCTAGTACATTTTGTCGTCGTCGTCAACCCTGCACTGCAGACTGATTCCGACAGTCGTCTCGCTCCGTCTCTCTCGCACGTCTACGGCACGTCCCACGAGTGCGAGAGAGACAGAGCGACGGAAACGACTCTCGGAACCAGTCTGCTGGCCGCAACTGTCCGCACCGGGGCGGTTCGCGGCGTCGGTCCGCGAGAGCGATTTATTTGAGAGCGACTTGGATGCATGTGCCGTCCCTGCCGTCCCCGTCGCGGTGTATCGCCGTGCCGCCGTGCCGCCGTCGCCGGTGTGCTGTACACTACACTGCACGCGGCGTGGCGACGCGTTGCGTGGCGCGGCGGCGCGGCCCGACGGCCTGACCTTGACGCTCTTGTCCCGAATCATTACCTGGACGCGAGGCTCGAGGCGCAGCGCGCAGCCGGCGCCGTGCAGCAGCAGACTCTCCGAGCGTCGTCCTCGTCGCTGTCTCTCTCGCACCAAGGGGGGACGCCGCATGAGTGCGAGGGAGACAGAGCGACGAGGACGACTCTCGGAATCAGTCCGCCGCGGCTTCTCCGGGGAGTGCCGATCGACCACAGACATCAATGTCCAGTTTCTGGCTGGACGCTTAGCCATGCTGAAAGTTGCAAGTTCGCAAGTGTGCTGATCACTTCCCCCGCCCTCTCCCTCTACACCATCAAGTCCCTAGAGGACTGAACTATTCTCATCTCACTGAATGACTTTACGGTCCGAATAAATGTCGTGTGGAGTTTACGTGGTGCCACACTGCATCACGTCACGAAGAGCCTCTTTCATTCGTCAATGACCGGCCATGGCCGCGTCGCCGCGTCTCGCTCGCTCGCTCTCCGCCCCCCGCGGCGTTTTACAGTGCTGCTGGCGGCGTCGACGGCTACCTGTTGACAGCCACTCGTCATTGTTGTCCTCCCTGGAGACGCCGGCGTCGCGGCGTCGCGGCGTCGCGGTACGAGGCGAGGCATTTGCATGTCCCGGCTCTCTCGGTGAGTCGGACGGCATTTCCAAGTTGATGCTCGGTCATCGCGGTTTTCTAGTGTGGAGGATTGCCAAGCCCGCCAAGCCAGCCGAGATTTCACCGGCGAACTTACGGTGTGGCCGTTCCCTTTCCGTTCCGCCCCCGCGTCCGCGGCAACGCCGGCGCGGCGCGGTGCGGCCCGCCCGGACGGCCCGGGCGTACCTGGGCAACCTGGGCGGGTTGGGCCCCTCGAGCCCCCCCCCCCCCCCCCCCCCCCGCCCCGTCACCGCTGTTACAGCACGGAGGTACGCGGCGGTGGAGGATATTCGAGAAGATGGCGGAAAAACTCAAGGAGTCAGCAGCGCTGCTCGGGGCTCGGCGGGCGCGGCGGAGCGAGGGAGACCGCGGGGGGCGGCGAAGGGAGCGGTGAAGGGGGCCAGAGTGGGGGCAGTGAGCGGGAAGGGGGGCGGGGAGGGGGCAGCGGGGGCACAGCTCCGCGGCGGCGGAGCCACAGGGGCAGAGAAGCGATGCCTGGCAGCGCCAGGCGGAGCCTGCACTCAGTGTCAAGGCCAGGGGCTCGGCGCTTCTGACCCCCCTCCCCCTCCCCGGTTTTCCTACCTCCTCCTCCTTCCTGATTCAACCTCTGAGGTTGATTTTGCTGCATGTTGCCCGCAGTCCACGAGGCGACAATGGAGTCCTAAACCGCCCCGCTCTAGGAAGTGGCGTCTCTGGAACCCTACTCCAGCTGGGCGACGCCGCCTGTTCGGACAGGTGGTGGCTGTTTTTGTTGCGATTAGTGCGATTGGCCAGGCCGGCGCTAGACGTGAGCGAGTAGGACGAGTACGACGAGTACCCGATGGTACCCGCCGGGGCCAAGCCGACGAATGGGCACCGCGCAAGTGGCAGGTAGGCTAGAAAAGGGAGGGGGGTGGACCCGTGGACCCCGAGGACCAGCTAGCCTGGACTACACCACACCACGTCACGACGTCTGCGTCGTCTCCCCTTCCTGGCCTTCCTGGCCGCGGTGTACGTACGCGGCTCCGCGCTGGGCCCTGCTTGTACGTGCGTCGGCCTTGCCCGCCTTGCCCCTCGTCGCAGCCGCGCCCCTCGAGCAGAGCAGCCTCATTCCGAGAGTCGTTTTCGTCGCTCTGTCTCTCTCGCACCTGCAAACGCCCCATGGGCGCGAGAGAGACAGAGCGACGAAAACGGCTCTCGGAATCAGTCTGCAGTGAGCGAGGCATGGCCCAGCCCCAGCGATAGACGCGCTTGAACTAGAGAGGGACAGCGTCTTGAAAATGCTGCCCGCGTCCGCGTCCACGCAGTGTCGCGCAGTGCATTGCCATGGCACACGACCAACCGCGCCAAGTCCGCACCCCGAGGCATTGAAATTCACGGAGGGTTCCCGCGGAAAAGAACAGAAAAGGGATACGAATAGAAAACGTGTCTACTTTTGGACTGGATTTTGGAACCACTCTTCAAACCTCTTTTCGAGCTTCCGTTTGACACGAGCTTTCTTTCCTTCAGACACTTTTCCCCTACGCCACCATTTTGCATGCGTGCCGCAGCAGCCCTGCAGCAGCACTGCCCCCGCATGAGTCCGCCCTCCCCTTCCAGATGCAGTTAGGGGTGGCCTGCCGAGCCTGCGGGTTGATCCGTCGCTCTGTCTCTCTCGCTCCCCTCCGGGACTACCGGCTCGCCCCACGAGTGCGAGAGAGACGGGGTGGCGCGTCGCGGCCACCCTAGGCCACCCCCATCCCCAGAGCGGCGCACGCCAGCGCGCGCCGGAGCCACTGCCACACTTTTAAAGTGGTGAATCATGGTGGCGCCCTATGAGGCAGATTAAGACTGATTGCTGGGGAGGGTGCGCTCTAAGGCCACATGACCCTCCAAGTGCGATTCCGAACAATGGGTTCGTCGCTCTGTCTCTCTCGCACCCCTACGGCACGGCCCGCGAGTGCGAGAGACTTGGGCGTACCCCGTGTCCTCGATGCCCGTGCACTGCTGCGTGCGGCAGTTCATTATTGCAGGCAGCAAAACATCGCCGCCCCTGCAGCTTCTTCCCCAGGCGGTGCGGCGCGCGGCGCGCGGGCGCAGCTCGATCGTTTGAGTTGAGTGAAAGGGAAGGGAAGGGAGACGGAGGATGGAGATGGGGGGACTAGATGGGGTTAATAGGGCTGATGGCGAGGGGCAGAGCACCCGAGGAGTGAACTAGTGGAGTGGAACTAGTCCAAGCTGAGGAGCGGAATGCACCGACGCGCCTCCAGAGGGCACCACCGGCCTGGGGAAGCCCCGCAGCCCCGCCAAAGCCAGCGTTTGGCAACATGAAAAGAATTCGTCATTTTTGACAGGGGAAGCATTGGATTGAAGTTCCATTGTAGTTAGTAATATTTTTTTATTAATTATACACGTTAGTAAACCATACAAGAATCATTGGGTGTAATAAAATTAAAGCAAAGGTCAACAACAAAAAATAAAGGCAAAAAGCATAATTACATTCCAGGCTTCATAAACGTTTGCAACAAAAAAATCTAAACAAAAGAGCACACGATGCATGCCCACTTTTCATAATTATAGAGTTGGTCAATGGAATAAAGGGAAAGCTTAAAACTAATACATTATATTGCTGTGCCACGATAAAGAGTTGAAACATTTACCCTTCTCAAGCCTGTAGCAGGGCAGCACCAGGCACACCAGGCACCACCACCGACCCAGCCGGTCATTACCGCCACAGCATGTCTACAAGTATCAACATATTCCATTCCACACTTTACAGCAGCTTCATTGTCCTGCACATAATTTTAATAAACCAGAAATTGCCTCCAAAAAAAACTTCAACATGGAGGGAAATAATATTTTAAGAAATACCCTTCTTTGGATCACATGATGGCTGGAAACGACTAGAAATATTTACACATGGAAGATAAACAACAGAAGCTTTTTAATGTATACCCAAAACTAAAAACAATACCATACTAATGAACTTTACGTAAGCAACGTTTATTTCTTTAACTTTTAAAAAGTAACAACAGTATAAACTTTGAGTAACAAAATTGGTTCACAACACACTTAAACCATTCAATGATAACAACAAGACTCTGACTAACAAGACGAATCAGCAAAGCCTCTCCAATCGGGCATGTTTCAAGCATATCAAGCCATAAACAATTTGTTAGCCACAAAAATGAGACTTCAAGCCGATTTTTTCTTCTTTGATGAAATTTATAAACACACTCCATACACACATAACAATTTAATTAATAGCTAAATAGTTCAAAACCAATAAATGCTTGGTCAAACTGTTTGGTACCAAAATATGAGTCACATTGCCCATGTTTTGTTTTTTTTGAGTTCTTATATGGAACATGCAACACAGCACTGAAGGCAAAGCAAATACAAATATTTTGTGTTTTAACAGAAGCATCAAATACAAAATCCCAACATACTAAAACACCACTAATAAAGTGATACACTCTGAAAAGACATAAATCTCAAGTTGTGCTCATCATATGACTAGAACAATGGGCTTGAAGTTCATTCTCTGTATGAAACTCATCCCCACATTCAATACAAAGAAATGGTTTCTCTTCAATATGTGTGAGAATGTGTGATTCAAGTGCCATTTGTGTACCAACTTCAACTTTACAGACAGCACATACAACCCCTGTGGCATTGGAATGCGACAAACTATGTTTCATTAATTTTGATGGTTTGTTGAAGCCCTCGCCACACACAGAACATAGATACTCCCCATTTTCTGTTGCCAATTTAGAGTCAGATGCAACTTTAGGTTCTTTTGATTCTTTGGGTTCTGAAAACTTTGCATTTTCTTGAGCTGAGTGAGGATGTGGTCCAGCGTTTGCCTCAGTATTTTGAAGCAGATCAGTAGAATACTTTCCATTAGCTAATTCTTTTAAACATTTTTTATAAACATCAAACACAGATGAGAGATCTGAAATGTGACTGAGATTATACATTTCATTGCCTTGAGGGAAACGAAAATCGTCAGATGTCGAAAAAGAGTAATGATCCTTTGGAGAACCATGAATAGTTAAATGACATCTTAGCTGATTTTCCAATGCAAAGCTTATGCCACATTCACCACATGTGAACGGCTTGCCTTTCCTGTGAACAGCTCCATGTCTCTTACAGTCACTTCTTTTCACAAAGCTTTTCCCACATTCCAAGCAATGAAAACGTTTTTCTTTTATTGGGGGGCCACTCCGCTTCTCAACTGGATGACTCAACTTATGAACTTTAAATTCAGCAATGTCAGAGAAAATTGCATTGCACACTGAGCAAGAAAAAACGTTTGCATCTGAAGAGTACTCTTGAGCAACAACATTATCATGCAACAGATAGTGATGTTTTAAATCTTGCAGTCGCATGAAAGATAGTCCACAAATATCACATTTTTTTTCACCTGTGTGAGTTGATATGTGACGGTTGAGATCACTACTCTTGTAAAATTTCATATCACATTGCAAGCATGCATGAGGACGAACTCCTGCATGAATCAATGCATGCCTTCTTAGTTCACTGTTCCTTCCAAACTTTGCCCCACATTCAACACAAGGGAAAGGCCTTTCACTAGTTTGAACAGAGTTAAGACCACTTAGGTCAATTCCATTGAAAATTCCTTTCCCAATTTTTCTTTCACCAGTGTGAGTTTTTAAGTGACGGTTAAGATCACTACCCTTGTAGAATTTCATATCACATTGAGAACATGCATATGGACGTACTCCACTATGGATGATTGCATGCCGCTTCAGTTGGCTGCTTGTACCGAACTTTGAGCCACACACTAAGCAAGGGAAAGGTCTTTCTCCAGTGTGGACTAAGTTATGACGCCGCAAATCACTCCCTTTGGAAAATCCTTTTCCACATTGCAAGCAGGAAAATATTCTTTGCTTTGGATGATTCAACACATGCTTTTCAAGATCAGTTTGAACATGGAATTTAAGATCACACTGATTACAGTAAAATAAAATTTGGTTTGAATGTGAAAGCAAATTTTGATCTAAATCCTGTCTAGTTTCATGGTGATCTTTCAAATGTACAACAAGATGTGTTTCTGAGGAGAAACTAGCTTTACAAATAGAACATGAAAACTCCTCATTGGTGAACCTCTGATGAAGTTTTTCATGAACATTCAAATCATATTGGTTACTAAATGACAGTTCACACTGAACACAGGCATACACATTACGTACACCTGACAATTCATGATTTACAGTTAGTAAATTTTGACTCTGACAGAGGCCACTAGTATCATCATCATCACTATTATTATTTTTATCGCCAATTCCAATGGAACCTGTTGTGTCGGAGTCCGAAGCACTTGATGAGTCGAACTTGTCTTGTAACTGCTTCCGGCTCTTGCAGTGCTTCCAATGATCCAATAGAACTCGCAGGTCACTGAATGTCTCTGTACACCAAGGGCAGCAAGATCCTCCATCTAGAAAGGCAAATAGTAGGTAAAGATCATCAGAGCCAAACTTTTCAAAAACATTCAATGAAATATGTTCTTAATCTACATGGCGACAAGTTTTCAAGAAGTGGCACTGAGTTTTAATCAAGTCAATAAACGCCTACTCAGGCTTATGTGGGAAATGGTTGATACAAGTGTGAGCTGGAAAATAAATAAGTGGCTGGACAACTTAACCAAAAAGACTAAACAAATATATGATAAGGATCCTATTAAGTGATAAAATCACATCATTTAAAAAAAGATCAAAGCAATTATTGTCTCATTTAAATGGCAAAAATCGTCTTCTCTAAGGGGCAGGGAAGTTTTCTAACAACGATAGAGCTGCAGGTGGGGTTATGTGTAACCACTTCACTGCGTCAATGGGAATCCCTTTCATGTTATAACGTATTGATGAATGCGTATGAAAGATTTTCAGCATACCTATTGTAAGATCTCTGTCTAATTGCTTCGCACTAATGTTGTCCATTGGTTATTTGCACTTAAACAATATAAACATTGTGTAGACAATATTGATGTGAGCTTAGTTCCGATAAAATCCACTGGAGCGCTAGCGCTAGTGGGTATCCTGCAATCTACCGGCGTTGCCTGCACCTTGGGCACCTTTGAGCTTGATTATTTTGGGGCGGATGAGACATTAAATACATATTTTGTCGCTATTACGCTGTAGCCGTGTTTGGAGTTAGCCCTGATGCAATTTTTGAGGCTCAATATTACTCTCTTATCATAGTGTAAGGTAAGTTCGACGACCCTGCCGGTGAAGTTGAGAAGGCCATATTTGATTTCCACCTATTTCGAATGGCGTTCTTTCACAACCACCAGAATTTACAGGATTTCGTTCAATTTTCGGTATCTGGTTTTACTTGTACTGATTTTCTTGTTCCTATATCTGTTCTTTCCGACCAGTAATAGTCTCGCCGTTTGGATCTGTCTTTCTTGTGAAGTAACTAACCTGTCTTGGTCGATTTTTGTTTTCAGATCGTCGACAGAAATGTTTGATTGAGTATTTTCTGGTGCACGGTTTTATTAAAAAAGCAGCGCCATGAGTTTCTCCAGCGACGAGGTCAACTTCTTGGTGTACCGATACCTCCAGGAATCTGGTGAGAACCTCTTCCAAGACCAAAAAGAGTTTGTTTTGTTTTGTTTTCGTGATCTCTGTAATGGACACATTTATCTAACTGAATTGTCACACGAGCAATTACGGTCCAATACTACACCCATCTAGTTGATAAATTCTTCTCCTGCTGTGCGAGTGCTTTGAATGAATTACTGGATGAGGGCCTACTCTGTGAGCCGATGTCAACACGGTACAACTCACAACCACTAGGCGTCTTTCAACCTAGGAATTAGAGGATACTGGGTGATCACTTATCATTTTAAGTTCTTAGCAGAAGAAAATTTAAATCATCCCGCACATTTTGAAATTTGTGCATGCCTGCTTTCAGACAAACATACCATGTTTGCTCTCATTTTCCCCTGTCTCCCATGGGAATTAATGTTTTTAAATTGCCTAACTTCCTAGAAATTTTTATTTCGTTCCTTTTTTTGTTTCTTTTGCACAATCATAGCCCCCACCCCTGAGAGTTATCTGGGTGTCCCAAAAGTAATGGCCAATTTATTTACTTTTAACTTTGTCCCCCTAGGTTTCCAACACTCAGCGTACACATTCGGTATTGAATCCCACATTTCTCAATCAAATATAAATGGAGCCCTGGTACCCCCCGCCGCTCTTCTCAGCATTCTTCAAAAGGGTCTACAATACACAGAGGCAGAAATCAGCATAGGAGAGGTTATTTTTTATTTTTTATTTGCTATGTGCATAAATTATTTTTACCTTTCTGAAGTATTGTGACTAGATAAAATATTTATGTATTGTATTTCTTTTCTCAGGATGGCACTGAGCATCGGTTAGTAGAAAGTCTGTCCCTCATAGACGCTGTCATGCCAGATGTTGTCACCAGTCGCCAGGGTCAGCAAAAGCCCCCAGTTGTTAAAAATGAGTTAACAGAAACAAATGGAGAAGAAGGATGTAAGTATTTGTTCTTCTGTGTGATTTTCTTCATGTTCATAGACATTCCTTTTTTAAATGATTTTTTAAATTTTTCCAGCCACATCTTGCTCCCAAGACACAGCCATGGAAGTTGATGGAAGTATCGAAATTCCAGAAAGCAAGACCACTGTTCTTCGAGGCCATGAGTCTGAAGTATTCATCTGTGCCTGGAACCCTACAACTGACTTGTTGGCTTCGGGTTCGGGTGATAGCACAGCCCGAATATGGGACATGAGTGATAATTCTTCTTCACCCAACCAGTTAGTCCTACGACATTGCATTCAGAGGGGCGGTGCAGAAGTTCCTAGTAACAAAGATGTTACATCGCTGGACTGGAACTGTGATGGTACCCTGCTAGCCACAGGATCCTATGATGGTTATGCTCGTATTTGGATGACTGATGGGTCTTTGGCGAGCACCCTTGGTCAGCACAAGGGCCCTATATTTGCTCTCAAATGGAACAAGAAAGGAAACTATATCCTCAGTGCTGGTGTTGACAAGGTAATGAGCAATATATGATAGTCACTGATTTTTCATGTTTATTATGATTGTAAAAAATTACTAATAATATGTATTTTACAGACTACAATCATTTGGGATGCAGCATCTGGACAGTGCACACAACAATTCTCATTCCACTCTGCACCCGCTCTTGATGTTGATTGGCAAACAAATCAGAGTTTCGCATCATGTAGTACTGACCAATGCATTCATGTTTGCAAACTTGGGGTAGACAAGCCTATCAAATCATTCCAAGGGCACACTGTAAGTTGCTCCAGTTTCAGGTCATCCTTACCCACTGCCTGTATCAAGTGTGAAATTATTTTATTATGGTCTCGATTTCTTTCAGAATGAAGTCAATGCCATTAAGTGGGATCCCCTTGGAAATCTTCTAGCTTCCTGTTCAGATGACATGACCTTGAAGATATGGAGCATGAAACAGGATACCTGTGTGCATGATTTACAGGCTCATAGCAAAGAAATTTATACTATCAAGTGGAGTCCAACTGGGCCAGGCACTGCTAACCCTAACATGAGTCTCATTTTAGCCAGGTATGCATGTGTTTGGGTGGATGTGGATCTGCGTATTTGTTGTTCAGCAAATTTCAAATTATCAGGATATTAATTCTGCGTGAACCTTTTACACTTGCAGCGCATCATTTGATTCAACTGTGAGGCTCTGGGATGTTGAGAGGGGACATTGCATACATACTCTCACCAAACATACAGAACCTGTGTATAGTGTTGCATTTTCACCAGATGGCAAATTTTTGGCTTCAGGAAGCTTTGACAAATGTGTACACATTTGGTCAACACAGGTAAGCTTAAGCATTTTATTGTATATTTTTTATGTTATATTGCCTGCTTCTTTAGCAACATATTTTCATTAAAACATTTTCTGTTTCCTTCAGAGTGGACACTTGGTACATAGTTACAAGGGTACTGGCGGCATATTTGAAGTATGCTGGAACTCCCGTGGTGACAAAGTTGGCGCAAGTGCATCGGATGGAAGTGTAGGGCTCAATACTCCTATTAACTTCTTCTTGAACTTAAAAAGCTCCTCTGATTAGCTGTTTTGTTAATTATTTACTTCTTTTCAGGTTTTTGTGCTGGACTTACGCAAGATGTAATTGAATGACTACGAGCTGGTTCCCCAAGGATGATAAGGATTAATTAGCGGATCTCATCCCTGCTTCTGTTCAACTTTGATTTTATGATTGTAACAGTTGAAGATGGGATTCTACTTATCAAAATCTTTCTTGAAATAATCATGTTTTCCTGCATAGTATTGATGAACTTACTAGGTAGTGAAGGTTCTGCTCAACAGTTTAGCATTTCACTGAAGTACTTCAAGTTTCTGTTAAATGTAGAGTCTAAATTTTTTTATGTTATTTTATTTTACTGTTGCACATTTTATCATCTGTACCTAATGCTTGTGGCAATTCTGAAGCTGTTTGTTAATTGACTGAAAGATAATGCTGTAATTTTCTTAGCCCATTAGTATAAAATCGGGCACCTGCCTGAGTAGGTATCTGCTTATTCCTTGTCTGATTGACTTAAGTGCATCACTGTTGTGAAATCTTAAAATAATAGGTGTCTAAATTAAATTTGGTTTTAAAGCCTGTTGAGAGGAAATGCATTATCCCTGTTCTATTTTATTAGCTCATGTACCTGTGTTTGATAAACATTCAACCTCAATTCCGTCAAACTTGAAAACAGAAAAAGGTAATGGTTAACATTTATTTGATTTGTGTAAGTTGTTTTGTAAGTACAAAATATTTTTGTTTGTCAGATATTATTTTAATTTTATTTTAATTTAAATTGTATATAATGCCATATATGTAAATGAATGTTAGATGAGGTTTATTTCAGTCTACTGTGTATTCTGTTTTTACCAACTCTTCCTTGTTTGAGTTGTTCTTTGGCAATTAATGCATTCCTCCTTATCAATGGAAAAACAATAATTTAACTTGATCAAGGCTTTGTACAGCATTCTCCCACTATGTGGTAAAATGGCAAAAAATATTGTGCATTAAAGTTGAGGATGACCAAATACCCTATGATGCTGCATTTGTTAGTCAACTTTGTCTAGCCATGAAGTCATCTGCTCCTACCAGAGTAATGTTAAGGTCATAAAGGTTCAATGACTTACTATGCAGACAAGTGAAACAGAAAGTACATAATTTATTTTATAGAGAGACTAAAGGATTTACAAGTATAAAAAGAAATGCTAGATATGGCAGTCTTGAAACACTTGGTGCCAAATTGCTCTTAATAAATGGGGTGATATGATTACTTGCAAGTAACTATTCAATTTGCAAATGATCTATGGAGTATGTCTGAAGAGGGACTAGAGTGAGATAGCACCAAGCATTTCAAGATAGCTGATAAAATTCTTACACTAGGGGACACGAGATTTAATAATGGGATGGGTAAAATTGCAATTGCAATGAGAAGAGTGCAGCACCGAGTCCTTCATACACAGGAACTTGTCATATGGTGCTCATGGAGAGCAAAAAAAAAATTTGGCCAACAATCAGAATACGTCTCTCCTTAACCTTTTCTGCATACGAAGAAAGAACAGATCCCTAAGAAATCAACTGAGTTTTTTACATATGTAAAACACATTACTCAATGCTAATTTAACTGAGTATTTCAGTTCATGTTCATGCAGAGTCTCAACAGAATTTTTGAAGACAGTTCTTACTAATAAATAGTTACATAACGAAGGGGCGCAGAGAGGGGAATTGATCCGCAGCCAAGGAAGTTGAAAAATAACAATGAACTAACATAGACTGAAAACTTAATAGTCAACATAATTATGATTGAAAATTCTGTATATGTACAAGTATCCCATGATGCACACAGTGGTGACACACACACACCTCATTCATTATCACATAGATTATTACAATTTATTACAATACTCAACCAATGAGTTTTTTCATTTAGTACCTCAAAGAATGTCGACAGACATGAAAGCTCACACAAAAATATACACATTTCATCATTGTTATTTAGTAAAATAGAACAGGGCAAGATGTTCAGAAAGTTTTCAGATATTTGAACTACTTACACATGAAGAAACAAAGCAAAAAAATATGGCATGAGGGTCCATACAAGTAAACATATGGACATGGCATAACAACTTTGATATATTTTGAAGAATAAAGGCACACATTAGAAATTGTTCCACTTGGAATGGCTAAAAAGACAGGAGGCACAAAGATTCCTTGGGGTAACTTGCTCTCTGATTGTCTGTGGGTCTACGACTAAAACTATCAGTCAAGAGTTTAAAAGTTCATGGCACTTAACTGTAAGCCACAACAATGCTGAAGAAGAGAATTTAGTTAACATGATGGTACACATTTTGTGTCCATAGTTGTCTGTAACATATGAAGAATCAATCATAAATAAATAAATAAATAAGATCTACTATATCTTAAGTGATGAAATAGCCAAAAGGGTGTCCTAAACATAGGGAATTGAATGATTCCCAGATGGGGTTACAACATAAAACTAATTTTATGAATGATCATTTCAAATGTCAAGATATTTAAGATACTATTGTACAATGGCTCTATGAAGAAGGCACTTTCTAACTAACATTAGAGAGCATTAAGATTTTGGATGGGTGAGTCAGGGACATTTTTTCTAAAACGGTTCCTTAGAAAGGAACACACAAGTTTGAGACTACATCTCACAAAAAAAAATGTTCTCAATGTCATGATTCCAATGTACTGCATAGATGGTACAACAAAATAAATGTCAAATAAAAAAAGATTTTTGGGTTGAATAGATCACTAGGTGGAGAACATGTTACTTACAGAGAAAGAAAGTACAGTCTTCATCGGCAAAGAGTCGACGGGTCGGGACCGGATTTCGACTCTTTGCCGACACGAAAACAACAGCAAAATGGTGGTAGACAAATCGTATGCTCCGAGTCGGGAGGGCCATAAAACTTTGTGGCTCGAGCTCGCCCCGCGGTAAGGGGACCGTCACATGAAGTCGACTCTTTGCCGGTCGACTCTTTGCCGATGAAGACTGTACTGCTAATACTTTAAAAAAAATTCAGAAGAAACAAAACAACAACATAAAAATGTTGAGGCACAGTAACTATATTTAATAACAATGCATTATTAGCACCTTATGATAAACACTTTTCAATGGACTGGCAAGTGAATTCACCGAGATTCTGATTTCAAACATCAAGTCAAGGGATCATTACATTCTTGGAGAAAGAAATTAAAACTAGCCAAAGCTTCTCATAGAGTACTCTAAACACACTCTGGATCTGATGGCAAATTTACACAGAAACAAAATTCTGAAGAGTGAAACAGTCTTATGTTTACGTTTGCTATCCAACAATTTAGGTTTCTTAGCAAGTTTAAGACTAAGAACTGAGAAAATTTACTAAGAAAGACAGGACGGAAAAGTCGCATAGCACTGCTCTCAATTATTTTCAACAGTGGAGCAATATGAAATCAAACAATGGGATTCCACATAAAAATATGTTGGTGATGGTAGCAGATAATTTTGAAAAATAACCATGATAAGAGAAATATCTATACCGTGCAACATTCCAATCAAGGGTCAACAATGATAAGTTAAAAGGAAAATAAGTTATACTAGCAGTAAAAGTTAATGAAAACCTGCTTTGACACAACAGAGGGTCACGTGAGAATTATTAACATTACTGACTCTTCTGCAGAGTCAGACATGTGCTCTTCTGTCAATAATGGAATGGAGTAATGGCACTGACGTCAAACAAGAGGAAGTTACAATATTTGGCACTTGAGGGCAAGTTGAGATTCAAAGCCATGAAGTTATTATGTACAGCCCACAATATGAGTATAAGAAATGGCTTTAATTTTAATACAGAAGAGAGCTTCCCATGGGTAACCAAGCACTGAATGTTTCATCATTTATATTTTGAGCTGTGAGAGGACTTTTTGAAGCAAATGAGGGCTCTTCTTGGAAGCTGTGCGAGTTTGTGACCAATGACAAGGCCTGAAGTGCCAATGTCATTGAACTGGCCACATGGGAAGGGTGTGAGTTTGCCTGAAATGATTGTTGTCGAGACGACCAACTCTTGCAGCAAGAAGCAAATAATTGTCATCACCTATAGGAGCTTGCCTGAAAAAAAAAGAAGAAAAAGAGAGTCAGCAATAGAAAACTTGGCCCTTATAATAAGTTTACAAGCGGTCAAATATTTATGAAAACTTACTTGCTACCATATTTTGTTTCTCTTGCAACTGAACGCAGGTAAGTGCGATGTTCCTGTTCTAAGTTGAAGATTGTATCTTGTAATTGTTTTAAAGTTGTACAAAATGAATGTACATCTTCTACCATAAAGTTTGAGATTAAGTTAGTGCCACCACAAGCTGCTGAAAATGGAAATGATACATCAGCTATACAATAGCAGGGGAAACACTTGACATTTCATGTGTGCCCAAGAATACTTACCAACTAATCCTTCTAATCGATCAAGATTTGAAATTACTAATGAGTGAATTCGCTGCAATTCTCTGTCTGGGTCAAGATTCATCTGCAGTGTTGCATCCACACTTGTTGAAACTTCGCTACAACCTGGAGCACATTCAATTTGTGCTCGACAGCTAGTTAAAACAAAGAAAGGGCAGCCATGAATTAAAAACTAGCAACTGGCGATTTTTTAGAAGAAAAGTATTTGTGCTTCATAACTTACCACAACCAATGACCATTTATGTAGGCACTTGGATGATAACTACTGAGTCGATTGGCATTTGTTTGACATATCTTAGTGAGAATATCAATCCACTCCTTCTCTTCTACACAGTTATTAGCCTAAACACAAATAACATGCAAGAAATGTGAAAGATGCATAAGGTACAAACTGAGTCATTTTCTGGTGAAAAATATTCTGTTAAAAATACCTGAATATACAGGGCTCTTTCTGGTTGAACAATTTGGAACATGTAGTTTTTCTTAAAGGAGTCCTCTTGAAGTTTTTCAACAGCTAAAATTTGATCCAGAGGAATGCAGCATAAAGGTTCCTTTCCTGTAATCGTAGATGGTGTAATGAGCCCCCAAACAAAACCTTACAATAAGTTCCTGCATGATAGTCAATTGACGTTAAATTCACCTTTATTTTTGGAATAGGTGAGATCTTGTGTTGTCAACCGGAAATATCTTTGTTTGAAATTCTTCCTACCAAATCTCTTCCGGCCCTGGGCTCTTTTTATCATAACTCTGAAAAAAAAAGGAAATACAAGATAAATGAAGGGGAACTGTGGTAACTGTGTACAGGTTGGGCTGCCCACTACTTTCACTCTACATTGGTTGTCTAGAAACAATACAGGTTACTTGAACATACCTTCGTTGCCTTCAAATAGGCAGCAATAAAAAGAGCAAAATTGAGGATTTGTAAGTGAAAGAAACCAAAACAATACCAGAGATAAGAGAGAGATAGATGGTATAAAAATTCTTACCCTTCCTTCAAAACAACTGGGGTGTCCAGATTTCTTTGAGTAGGATTTGATGTAGCAGATATTATTTCTAAAAACTGTGAATAAAACAAAATTATTTTTATTATTATTTTTTAAAAAACCCTAATAAGAAATAAGATTTTTACACGACAAAAATAATAGTACGGTACCTGTCTCACGGCCAGAACACGACTTTCTGTATAGACAGAGTCAAAAACACAAGCCATGTACTCTTCTTTGTAATCTTTTTTGTACTCCTTTTGCAAGGACGGTGAGCTCACAAGGTTACCAAGGCTTTGAATGGTTTTTGAAATCAGTGTCAAAGTACGTTTTGTTTGGCTATCCTGTTGTGATAATAACAATGATGATTAGGATAATAATAATAATAATCTTATGTACACAAAGAGGCATTAAACCTTAAGAGAAAGGTATAAACTCCTCAAATAGCAAACAATGTATGCTTTAGTGAAAAATACGTACAATCTGCTCACTGGTGAGGTCAAACAGCTTGGGACCCAATATAGCTGGTGCAAAGAACCGAAGAAAGATAAACCCTGATATTACAGAGTATCTTACTTCTTTATTTTCTACAAAGGAAAGAAGAAAACAAACAATAACAATGGTTTTACTGGACGCAATGAGCAATGAAAGAGTTCATAAGCACATGTTGAAATACATACCGGGAAAGTATGTTGTAGCAACCTCCTTAAGATTGTGAAATAATTGGCACATCAAAGTAGGACAGCGTATTGCAGAGTTCGTGATAGCAGTAAATATTTTCTCAACATAGTCCTTAAGTAGAAAGGAAAACAAGGTCAGTAAATTATTCAAATCATATACCAAGGTGTCATCCCTAGTTAGTCTCTCTCTTACTTTGAGATTGAGAAGATTTGATTGGATTTGGCTTGGATCCTCCACTCTGCTTGGGTCTATTTCACATGGTTTGTGTTCTTGGAAGACTAAATCTAGAGTAGGCCTTAATGTATTGTGAAGGTAATGCAAGCCAACTAATTTCATAGCTTCATCCATCATCTTTGATACAAGAGTGTTTCCTCTAAATATTGTGTTGGGATCGCTGAAAGTACGAATGATTAACTTCCTCAAATGAAGCAAAAGCTACTTGAAAAAAGTATCAGATAATTCAAAACTTTAAATTCTTACGTGACTTTGGAAATTTCCCATCTTGCAAGATTGTTAATGATTGGAGCAAGCTGCGCATGGTGAAGAAATAGTTTAACCAGTGGTTGAGCGGTATCTTCCTTGCTAGGAATTATTGCACCAAGTATGTATGCAGCACTCGATGTGACAGGCTGCAAATACCATTCATAACATTAGGTGATGTTATTAGTGGAATGACATCAATATTTCAACAATAACATACCTCTGCATTGACACTTTGGAGCAGCAGTTCTCTAAGGCTGTTGTAAACATGACTAGAAAACACGTGATCAGCAGTGTACTGAATATTAAGACGAAGAGAACCTAGTGAATTAGAGTGGCTACGGGCAGAAGCTGGACTCTGGGTTTGCTTGCTAGTTGGTCTATGCAGTAGTGAACGAGGCTGAAGAAAATACCTGCAATTTGAATGTCAAAATATAACTCAGCAAATTGAAGTTCAGCAGAAAAAGATTCAAGATCAATGAAATCTTGGCATAGATTTCAAGGATAGACCAGCTCTTACCAAGCATTTGTAGCAGCATGATTCTGCTGCTGAACACCACCAAGAGGAATTCTAACTTCTCCCAAAAATATCTTATCTGACATTCCAGCCGAATCATGCCAGAGGGAGATAATTAGTTCACTCCAATCCACATCAGCACAAGCATCAGAAACTCGGTACTGCCATTCCCTGTCATGGTTTTGACCACGCACTGATGGAAGCTAGAAATAAAACAGCATTAACATACAAAGGCCTTTAGCAGATAAAAAGCCAATCTATACAAATTTCAACATACCTCAAAAGTAAATGTTTCATCAAAGTGTGGCGAACTTGTTTTCTTCTTGACCTTTGCTTTTTTGCTTTCCTGCTTGCCATTTGAATACTTTACAGTAACGGTTGCAAATGGGTCACAAGCTCCATTCTTTAATGTTAGCTCATTACATTCAATTAGCCTAAAAAGTATAAAATAAGGTAAGACGGATTAATAAAAGCTAAATATATTTGATGTATTAGGAAATGCAAAAATAAGTAGAAAAGCAAGTGAAAAGAAGATTTACCTCACAATAAGCCTTGAGTTGTGATGCTCCAAGTTGCTGTTTCCCTTAATAACAGCTTCAAACTTCACATCAATGTGCGCTTTGCCCTGAGCAGATTTTTGAAATATTAAAGTTAGACACTTAAATTTGAGCCATAATACTAAAACTGGGAAAAAAAAAACAACAAAAAAACTCACCTGGACTTCGCTATCTGCATCAACAGGCAAGATTGGAAACCAGTTATCTTTGCTATGATATGAGTGAAGCTCCTCTCTCTTAACTGCTACTTTCCCAATAACTTTGTCTTGTTTTAGATGGCGATCTCGATCATAAATATATACAGAAAGGTATCTGAACCGCCGAGGGACTTCAAACTGAAAGTCTTCTGAGAAGAATGGGCTGGAAGTGAAAGAATAAGTGAGACAGTGCACAAGGCAAAGTGATCAGAGAAAGGAAACTGGTAAATTTCAAACCTTAAAGTTTTTTCAATGGTTTCTGTTCGGAAAATTTCTTCTTGATCTAATGAAAGTGCACAATACACATCTCTTTGATTCACTGAACCATGGTTTCTCCCAGGCAAGTTTTTGGCCTCACCTTGAAACAGAAAATGGTAAAACATGGTTACAAAATACAAAGAAGGCAGGAACTAATAACATTAAATACAAAATATCTGTAGAAGAGATGAGCAACATAAAAACCAAATACCCCCTAACTTAAAAAGCAAAATAAAATGAGAAAAACTTTCGCCCATTTCCAAAACTTTATCAATGCCCCAAATATACAGCACCTCTCTGAGAACAATGACAGATACAGTATATGTTTACATCCCTTGAAATAAGGAAAATTACAGTTGAGGAACATTTAAGAATAACAATTTAGTCGAAAATTAAAGCATGGTCACATATTAACAGCCCGGTTGGGATGTTTTATTCAAAGAAATAAACAACGAGACATACGAAGAAACATAACCTTTCGGTTCGAGCGGCCTCCCACAACATCCAAACATTAAAAGGCAATGTTTACCAACAAGTTATAAACAAAAAGGGAGGACTGAGTAAGATGTTATTGGGTTAGAAAAGATTGGTGAAAAGGGGGCTTTTAAAAATGGATAAAAGAATTGGCGTATAAACATAAAACAATGATTCTGTAGTCAAAACAAGCTTGGCTATCACACCACCTGTTCCAAAAAAAATTTGCGATCGCGTATTTCATAGGACTCTTATAGCTACAAACGGGAAAATTAACAAACAAAAAATAGCACTAACGAATCTAGGGACTTTCGTTTGTTAAGGGTGACAAATATAGTACGATAAACTCGACGTAATCATACCTATTTTGATCTTCAAACGTTCAACTACACGAACTTTCCCCTTCATGGCCGCCATGATGCTTACTCCATTTGTGACAAAAGAAGAACAGTTGAATGAAAAAAGACGAAGTACTCACAACTACGGAAGTCAAATGTAGCCAGATAAAATCTTCTAATAATTGAGTGAAACCGTAATTAAACTATTTGCACCATGAAATGAAACAAGATATGACTATCTTTCGTGGTACTGGCCTGAGAAGCTGCCTTGCCTTGGGAAAAATCTTCAGGTAATTTCGTCTGGTAATGCACTTGATTGGAGTAGGCTTCCATTCATGGCTGTGTGTGCTGTACTCTAAAATCATGAATGAGAGGAATGATCTCATCGATCTGTTTCACACCTTGATCTTCTATGAATGGGAGCGTAAACCGGAGGGTTATTGGCCTCTCACTTGCCAAAAGTCGGCACTTTGGTTCACACGTCACACAAATGAAAGCCCAGTCACCACCATGGCTTGACATTGATGCATGAACAGAGGGGTTTGCACTGATTTGCGTAGTGTGAGTCCTATCAGTGAAATGAATCCATCCATATTTTATCTACCACCTACTCGATGTTTGAAGTTTAAATTGTTGTCTGTTCATTGTTTTTAAATGTATGTGATACGAAGCCTGTCGTAACAGGATTACAAGTTCCCTGCACAAGAGTTGTGTTTGGGTTCAGACATAGGAGAAAATAAGAACAGGAACACATTTTTTTAATACAGCAAATATATTCGAAAATTGACAGCTTGATATATCAAAAGGACAAATCATCTCCGGTCAAACCATCTCCCTTTTATACGATTTCAATGTGCTATGATCATAAATTGAATGTATTTTGTGGTACATAAATTGAAAGAAGAACAGCAGGTTGTCATAATCTCCACCATATTTCCCTATCCATTGGTCAGGCCCACAAAGGTTTATTTCGGGATCTCCACCAGGATCTGAGCGAATACCTCGACACAAGGCAAGGTTCTTCACAAACTTCGATGGTTGCTTGTCTGGTCGAGATGCCCTTTCTTCTGATTCATTTGCGTCTTGTAAGGATTTAGATGAGAGCGTCAATGAGTCATGATGACTATCGGGACAGCTATTACGGCTTTTTAATTCTGAAGCACTTAATGTGTCTTCTTCAGACACACTCGGGCTGAGACTAATTTCATTCATTCCAAGTTTGCATATAATGTGAAGTTCAACGAGAAATTGATGAACTGCTTCTATAGTTGCCAAAAACCACCTTGGGCTCCCGTGTTGGTGTCTCCAAAACTGGGATATCCGAGATTGTATGACCACACAGGGAATTTCTGAAATCAACAAAATAAATTACACAAAACAGGAGGCAACTTTGCACCTCTACAAACAAGTCTTTTAATGCAAACCTCGTAATCTTTGATCTTTGTAAATTCCTCTGCTCTGGTTCCAAGTACTGTCAATGAATACAGCACGATTGATGGGCACTTTCAGAGAAGTGTAGGGTTTCTTGGGAAGTGGTTCTGAACACTCAGCCTCCTTTTCACTGAAATTGTGGGTACATAAAATACTTGAGTAAATGTATTTTGAGTTGCTATTGTAGTAAACCATTCATTCAATGGCTCTTCCTAACACTCACCAATCATTAATCGCTTTATCAACATATTCTTGAATTGATAGGGCATTTTTGCCAGGGAATATTAGGACAACCTGAAAGTAATGAAATGTTTTTAGAAAGTAAATTCAAAGATGGAAAAAAAAAAAAAATTGATTTAACTGCAGGTTAAAGGACAAACATTTTCATCTGACGAGTAGTCAGGGATGCATGGATATGTGTAAATGGTAACGTCATCAGGGGCAATGACAGCTGCATGAGCTGCTGTACTTTTACCATCAATTTCACTCGCATGTTTTATGATGTCAATTTTCACGGGAAGCTAAAAGAAATAAAACAATCAGAATGATTATTTAAGTACTGAAAGATCGTTTTTAAACTAATAATGGAAAGTGCATTTTGTCAACTAACCTTCACCTTTGGTACATGTTCCTCTAGCCCAGGAACGGGAATGTAACAGGTGTAGCAAAAATACTTCCTCGATTTATTACACTTCGGGCATATAGCTCGACCCTCCAATTTGTCTAAGACGGACCAATCTTTAATTTTCATCCCTCGAAAAGGATTTTCATCAGAACTGCTGCCCATCTTTAGTCTAGACAATAAACTGCTGAGATCAGCATAAATTGATACAACTCAATTATTAATATTCTTAAATTTAGTGCAGATTTTTTGATCCAGTGTTGATGACGATTAAAACATTAAAATGCTTTAAAAATTCCAATTCCATGTGCTCGTGAAGGTTATGTTGCTGCAGTTTGAAGATCTCATCTGTCAGAGTCTAAGTTATGATCTGTTTTCAATGAATTTCGTAAAACCACTTGCACCTTGCAAGATCTTAATTTTTTTCTAACAATAGAAGTGTTTTTGATGGTGTTGTGATGCGTTCTTGATGAAAATATCTCCAAACGCCGTCCTTCCTTTCTTTTCGTGGTTGTAGTGGCACTGCACACTGCACCTCCCAGCGTGGCGCCTTTATTTGAAAATTTTGGTACCAACGACGAGAAATCTACAGATTTACAGGAAGATTTAAAGTAGGGTCATGGGTAAGGAACTCGCCCATGCATCCCTCAGCTCAGGGGACTTTCTTTAAAATGATCTTCTAGTTTTATGTACTGGATAATAAGGGAGTAATAAAACTTCAAGGCTGGTGCCAAATTTAATCAATGATAAGAAGGGAAAAGTCAATAATTTTATAAAATAAAAACTGTGTATTGAAATCACATTAAAAATACAAAAGAAAAATACATTCTTGAGTTAAAAATTAAAACTGTTTTGCACATTTCAGTCAGAGGATTCGGAAGAAGAGCTGTCCCTCTTCTTCTTTTTGCTCTTGCTACGGTGCTTTTTGTGTTTCTTGTGCTTCTTATCACGCTTACTTTCTCTTTCGCTCTTTGAATCAGTGGATACATGTTTCCATTTCCGTTCCTTCTTGCTCTTATCATCTGAATCTTCATCACTTGAACTGGAGCTCCTCGATCGCGACCTGTCTCTGCGTTTCTTTTCTTTCTTAAGCTTTTTCTTTCGTTTCTTCTTTTTTTCTTTGATTTTGGCCATAGCTGCTTTTAATTCCTCTTCGCGTAACTTAGTCAAAGGTGTTTCATACTCCAAATCGCTGTCACTGCTAGTACTGCTTACATCAAGAACGACTTCTTTACTAGGGTCGATCTGAAAAAAAAAGTTTTGAATAATTTTAAAAGAAGCAGTAAAAATTTGAAGCAAGGGGTAGAAAATAGTTAGGCAGAAGATAATTGGTTTATTAGGTAAAGGACAAAAAAAATAAAATTGAGTACCTTGATGAAGTTTCTGCATTGAAAGGTCAAATGACCAGCGTATCCACACTTCTTGCAAGCAGGGCGTAGTGTTTCTTTACCAGCAGGAACCAAACGAGCTATCATATCAGGGTCCATGATGATGAATTTGTGAAAAGTGTAAGTCCTAAAACACAAACATAACCTTACATTGGACAATGTTCTGTTAGAGTTGGGAGCAAATTAACTCTTACACATTAAATCAGCGCGACTAAATTCGTTGACAATCACGATCAACACCATAAGCATTTTCAGCGAGTGTTTTTCTCACTATTTCCGTGTAAATACACGTACTTTTGACAGAAAAGCAGAAAAGTGACGTTTGTTGACTTGGCAGGTTGGCAGTGACGGTCGGAGCCTTCTGCAACACAACTCGAAAACTAGCGCCAACGCCTGTGGTTGTGGTTGTTTACAAATTTGTGTAGCGTCTTGAAATCGTTGATTTAATCTTTTAGCATCATGAAACTCGTACGGTAAGTATCGTTTACAATTTTTGATATGGGGACTTTACAATTTTTTTCCCCTTTATCCGAAAGAATTTGCAACGTATCACTATCCAGTCATTTTATTTATTGGTTGTGTCAATTGCCGGCATTTGAACGTTACCGAAATTTCCTCAAATCTCAAATTGTATCTTAAACCATTATTGAAGGTGTTGCGTTTTGAGTTTGAATTTTCAACTCTTCTTTCCGTTTTGTCCGTTTCTATTGTCGTTTATTATTTTTGGACGTTTGTTATCAAGTCGTCTGTGTTTTTGAGGTTATGGTTTATGTATCATTTGAGTATATCTGCTAGCTGCTTTTTTTTCTTTCCCCACTTGTTTACAACAAGTTAGTGCACTCCGTTGCTTCTGTGCACATTACCTGACACATTTTATCCTTTTGTGTTTTTCTCTTATCTTCTTGTTGCAAGTATTATTATTTGTTCCCTTTATTTTTGGTTCAGGTTTTTGATGAAACTTAGTCATGAGACTGTAACTATTGAGCTCAAGAATGGAACACAAGTTCATGGAACAATAACTGGTATGTATATGGTTTAGGTTTTCTCTGTATTGTCTTGCATGCTTTGTCACTTACCTGTTCATTTTTAAATTTGTAGGTGTTGATGTTGCGATGAATACACATCTTAAAGCTGTCAAGATGACAATCAAGAACAGAGATCCAGTTCAGTTGGAAACATTGAGTATTCGAGGCAACAATATTCGTTACTACATCCTCCCTGACTCATTGCCTTTGGAAACATTATTGATTGACGACACACCCAAAGGCAAAGCTCGCAAGAAGGAAGCTGCTCGCAGTAAGTTTTTTAAAAAATTTCACAACTTTTTTTTTCTATTTCATCAATTTATTAACCCTGTTTTGTCTATTAATAGCTGGTGGTGCAACTCGTGGGAGAGGACGTGGTAGAGGTGGACGTGGCAGAGGCCCACGCGGGCGTGGAAGAGGAATGGGCCGCCGCTAGGACTTCAAATTTGTTCTTCATATACATCTGTGATTTCAATATCGTGAAGAGAACTCCTAATTTCATTCTGGCTTGCCATTCATGCCAAGTCAGTCCCAAATTAAATTATGTCAAATGCAAATGCATACCTTATCAAACAGAACTGTGTGAAGGTGTTTTCTTCAAGTATCTGTTTGTGGAAGCCTTGTTGTAGGAGACAATTACCTGGTTTAGTGCCACTTGAGCTCATGCAATGCTGAATGTTAGTGTTTATAACTTTCAAGTTTTGAAATCCCAATTTCATTTCAAGTTACTTTCTCTTTTGTTGCTTCTTTTTCTTTCATGTCTGTGGGTATTGAGAAGTACCATCAATTTAAATCAAGCTTTTTCATACTGTGTTGGCTAGAAGTGTCAGAATGCTCTTCAGCTAGCAAACCAATTACCTTTTTTTTATGTTTTAAATCTAAAACAAAATATTTCATTTTGTCATTAGCATTAGAATTAATTTCTGAACTTTTATTCTTGTAGGTTCCTTAGCAGTGTGAATGATGCATTTCCTTTCGCATCTTATTGTTGCTGATGTGGAAAACTTATTATCTGAATGTGTGTGTAATTCTTAAGTCATTGACTGCATCATGTCCCTTGAATAAATAAGAAACTGAATTGGTCTTTCATTTTTATTAGACTGTTGAGTTGATAAACAGTGAGCAAAAATTATGTTTTTTAAGTACATTCATCACAGAGAAATACGTTTGCTGAGGAGTTTGTTGCTGGTCTCTACCCAGAATTTGGTGAGTAATTACATCTGCAGCTCTTTCAGCCAGGGCTATAACAGCTGCATTGATGTTTGCACTAGGAAGTGTTGGCATAACTGATGCATCAACCACATACAAGTTTTTTGTTTTGTGTACTCTATTGAAAGAAAAAAAAAGGGCATTATACAACAAGTTTATCTCTATGCTCAGCCAATATTTCAAGGTACTACCTGAATGAATGGTCGACTACAGCATCCTCTGGAGATCCCATTCTACAAGTACCTGCAGGGTGATACACAGTGTATGACAGCATCCTGGTGTAACATTGCCAATATGCATGGCTATCAAAGTCATGCATTTCACACCCTGGCATATGGTTAGGGTTCAAATAAGCTCCAAGTTTTGACATAGATTTGGTATTGATTAGTTTCTTAACAGCTTGTATACCTGAAAAACATAAACAAACAATCTTTCGTACAGGTCCTCAAATTTCACTTAACTCTCGTATGCGCTTTTATCTCACCCTCGACTAGAACTTCAACATCTCTTGGGTCTGAAAGATACTTTGGATCTATAAGAGGAGGATCAAAAGGGTTCTTGGACTTCAGTTTGATCTCACCGTGACTCCAAGGATGTAGTAATATAACTAAAATTGTAACTCCTATGTGTGAATCAGTCTTAAGAGAAAAGTATTCATTCCATATCTGAAACATAAATAAGGTACACTTAATTACATAAATTTTCCTTCAACTCAATGGAAATGTACAAAATCCTGTACTTACTTTGTCTTTCAGACCCATGTTGTAGCGAAGAAGTGACCCTTCATCAAATGTCAGCCCTGCTGGTAAAATTAGAAGTTGAACATCAGGAGGGTTGTTCAACGGATCTGAATAGCGAGTGTGTAACAGGCCTGTTGCCTCACAACCTCCATGGGAAAGGACACCTATCAAGATCAATAAAACATGTATATTCATTATTTAAATAATCAGATTTATGACAATGTAAATGGTTCTCCTCGGCTCACCTTCCCCAGACAAGATATATTCTAGAAATGATTTGGGATGTGCCAAGTTTGACAGACTTAAAGAGAGAGATGAATTTAACAAAACCAAATCACTTCCCGTGGACACATGATCTATTAGATTTTTGCCAACATGAGAAGAATTAACTTTCACTGGTATCTAGATTGGGGGAAAAAATGTATTAAGCTTCTGATAGAAGAGAAATTTCTGTGAGCAAATGAAAGTATAAAAACCAACTTCAAGGTCAGAGAGGTGGTCAGTAGGTCCAATTCCTGAGTGTAAAAGGATTTGGGGAGATCCAATTGCTCCGGCAGAAAGTATTACACCATGCCTACTTCTTGCTTTATGCCACCCATTCACATGATAATACTCAACACCTTTTGCCTCATTATTTCCATCTAGTAAAACCTGACAAGAAAAGTCACATGTATGTTGTATTATTATTTTGAAACCTTGTATGGGTATTGTTTTATTTTACCTTGTTCTGGAAGACTTACCCTGCTGACATGAGAATTTGTTCTTATGTGGAGATTTGGTAACTTTTTGGTATACAGAAAAGCAGAATCAGCAGCAAAGCGAGATCCATTGAATGTAGTGGTTTGGACCTCCATAAACCCTGTCTGTGTCATTGTATTTAGGTCTCCAACGAAGTATCCCAATTCTTCTGCAGCATTTAAGACTGCCTTAGAAAGGTCTGTGGTCATAGGAATGTCAGAGACTGGCAACCAGCCATCCACATTGTGATGACGCGCTGACAAAAAACAAAGGTAGACTGTAAGTGGCTGAAGTTCAAACTACCTCAACAGTAATGCATGAAACTTACTGTCAGTCTTATAAAGTCCGAGATGATTTTCAGACTTTTTGAAGTAGTGCAGTTGGCTTGCTGAAGAGAAGCCCCACGATTCCCAGTCCTTTTCGTGCCCTCGGAGATAGACCATATTGTTTAAACGGCCAGAGCCACCCAGAACTTTACCTCTAGGCCAGAGGCTCGCCTTAAGAAAAAGAAAATTATTCAATTACAGCATTTGGGACCCATTATGATCAACATGTAAATCAAACATTTTGAGTCCTTTACCTCATTGTTGAATGCTCCACAAGAGTGCTTCTGCGATTCTGTGGTGTAAGTCCAGTCAAGGTCAGTGCGTTGCCAGAGGGGTCCGAAGATAGGAATATCAATAGTTCCTAGAGTGGCCCACCAGGGCGGAGGGCCTCCAGCTTCTAGCAGGAGTACATTAAAACCATTACCAGCTAATCTGCCTGCCACAGTTGATCCTGCAGAGCCACCTCCAACTGCAAAAATAAATAGTACTAAATTTCATCAAAGCTTAAAGTGCGAAAGTGTAACAGGATAATAAAGCACTTACCAACAATAAAGTCATACAAAATATTAACATCAGCACTGGGTAGAGAATACCACCTAAAGATTAAGTTGCTCCATGTTGACAGTGATATGAGAATGCTCAGAGCAATAGCTCCAAGCTTGAATGCTATTCCAAGCAACATGATATACTGAATCAACTGTTGCTAATGCTGGATAAGTCTCTATACTACTAGTCTGCAGCAAAGCAGTATGCCGCCGCCTCAACAACTCTGACATTCTAACCTCTAGTTTTGTTTTTGTCATCTGCTTGAGCAGACCACTGTACACGGAAACCAGTTCCGTGTGATAGATCAAGGTTAACTACTGCGATCAGTTAAACTATATGGAGATGAGACGGAGAAACATGTGAAGGTCAAACAAGAGATAACTGAATCCATCCTTTACTAGAGATAGAAGCAGAAAAGTGCAAAAAATCCATTTCTTTCAGTTTTAAAAGCAGAGGACCGTCAACACGCCCAGTTAAACATAAAACAAAAAATGATGACGCTCAGGTGAAAATCAAAGTCATCAACAAAAACACGTTGAAGTGAAATTTGAAAACAAAATAGGTTTTTAATCGTGTGACAAGATAATTTTCACCATTTACCGCATCTGTCCCATATCTTATCAATTATTAAATAAGAGTATTCTTTGTTGGTGTGGTACTTCCGAAACAACAACAACATAACGGGTTTTCTTTGATGAAATGAAAATTCATGCAAGGCGCTGGGTTTGTCTAAATCTAACCTAACCGCTTGCCGCTTGGCGGGCCCATGCTTGCTTGCCGGTGCATCCCGTTAAATAATGCATTGACATTTCACTGAGAACGATTAAGCAAACTTTTTGTCACGATGGAAAGTAAGTAAAAGATTGTGCTCAGCATGCAATTTAAATTACCCTTTTAGATACAATTGTTTATGATACGTTCTCATTGTTTGCTTGTGTATTACTCAACTGACACTGTTTTCTTCTTTGTTATTCATTATCGTTAAATTTACTTGATTAGAATTTGCTAGATCATCAAGTGTTTTTAATTTTTGACCATAGTATTAGTTGTTTGATTGTTTGATGAACGTTCCTTTATCTATCCATTTGGTCACTATCTTGTGTAGCTACTCAACAAGTATTTGAAGCATTTAAATTGATTCATTGGGAAGGGTTTTAGGACTTTGTGATTTTGAAAAAGTGTCTTTTGTATTATAGTAACTGGTATTGTTTTAAATTAACAGAATACAATTTTACTTAAGAAATCTGTGTTTGTTTACTGTTTGTCTGTCCATTATTGATTAGGCCTTTGACAGTTTAAATTTCTATTTTTTGTTAGCACCAACTAATTCATTATGTCTGTTATTTTCAGCCAAAAATCAAGATATGTGGACTCCATACAAGGAGCTCCAAAGTGTTGTGGAAAGTATAGTTATGAGATCAATGACTGACCCTCTGAAAGATTTGGACAATTTTCTGCAGAAACATAAACAAAACTTTATCAATCTTCTCAAAAATCCTCCCAAGAATGCGCAGAGCAGAGAAGAGTTGAAGAAGGGTATGACAGAGGGCATAAATTTGCCTGGGATGGGTCACCAAATTCTGTCCAAAGATTTGGTCGATGAAGCCTTAATTATATCAGATATGTACGACCTTAATGAATACCAGGCGTTGGATCTGCTCTGCACTGCTCAAAGGCAAATGGCTTTCCATCCTGGTCTGCCTAGAGGATTGGTGGCTGTGCTATTGTATTACGATGGAAGGAAGGCTCTTGTGTCCACTTTGAGAACACTGGTTCAATCTCGGGCAGGAGTTGCTTGGAGTTTGGAAATCAACCCAGAAGTTATTGACTATGTCACTGATTACACTGATAAACTCATGGAAGATGGACTCATCAGTAAGATTTTAAATCTCTTAGATACTATGGACCTGTCAAAAGAAACAGAACTTCTTCAGCAGAACAGAGCCTTTGGAGGCCCAAAACACAACCGACAAGTTGTTGATTTACTTGAAGAAACAAAGCAAATTCTTGCTGACATAGTGTTTTGCTGGGCTGTGCAGTGTGGATTGCCCAGGGAACCAACAGTGAGATTGATTCAGCAGTTGAGGAGAACAAAGCTTGAAGAAGGATCAACGGGTGGAATTGATGGGGTTACTCTTGCTCTTCAAATGGCTTTGCTGTGTGCTCTGGATTTAAGTATTCTTCAGAAGAGAGAAGATGGTGAAGGTATGATTTTTATACATGATTAAGGCTTAAAAAATATTTGCTCTTCCTTTGCATGTATAATGTATGTATTTCTTGTTGGTTTTGTAACAGATGCAGTTCAGTTATTACCACTTATGTCAGATCCAGAATTTCTACCAGTTTTGCATAGAGAATTAACTAATTCAAGGCCTTGGGAGTGTGAAGGATTGCAAGCCATTACTTACTTAGCATGGGGCTTAGTCCTTGCTACAATGAGATCTCATCATAGTCAACCTACTCATGGTCAGTATTTCAGCTATTTAAAAAATATGTGTATGAATAAATTTTCTCATCTTTTATTTATTCCTTGTTTTACAGGTATAGGCATATTGGATGAAGATGATTCACTGATAAGCTTTGCAGTGAATCTGGGAGTCTTTGATTTTCTTCAACGCACATTCCTAGAGAACGCAATCATTTTCAAAGAAGTATGTTTTTCTTTTTTTTTTTTCCAAAAGCCTTTGTTTTAGTGTTTCATTTTCTATAAACAACTTTCTTGTCTTTCATAGGAAACGTACATGAGACGCCTGCACAGTTTGGTTACGGACTTCATAGTATTTATGCCCTTAAAAGTTAAAGAACTTAGAAGTCGTGCTGAAGATGCTGCTCGCACTGTCCAAAGCTATGCACAGGTAAAAACTTTTATTGCGTCTAGTGGTTCATCCAACTATGCAATTCATCTTGGAAATACATTAAAATTGTATGAATACATTATCATTTGTTTTTAGCAAGGGCTGGAGCCTCCTCCAAATTTGCCTCATCATTATGAGCACCTTATGTTGACAATTGCAAGGTTGTATCGGGAAGACCCTCTTCATCTTGAATTGGTACTTGATTATTGGTGCCCCACAGAGAGTTCTTCCTCCTCAGGATTCCCTTTCCGTTCCAATTCCAGACAGGTGCGGTTCCTCTTCGTTAACTTTGATCTTTTTGTTTTTATTTTTCCAACACTCTGACTTTTTTTTTCCATTCTCTTTTATTTTTAGGTTTCTCTTTTTAAGTTTGTTCGAGGATCTGCTGATAATTTATCTCCATCCCTCTATGTCGCCTACATGAAAATGTTGTGCAGTCTATCTTCAACTCAACAAGCTGCCAGGCACTGTTTTAATCTCTTAAAACAAAACAGCCCAGTCAACACATGTTTCATTTCATGGGATCACTTTTTCACATCACTGAATAGGTCTGCTAGAAAGGGTAGCTTTTTTTAAGTTTGTTATTATTAAAGGTAGTAATGTTTCATTAACATTGATTTTCTTTACTTCAGGTATTATTTCAGCCTGAGGCAAGAGCCTATCTCCAAAGCTGACACTGTGTACCACAGACCCATGCAACCTCGGGGCATTACACTTCAAGAAATTCAAGGCCTGCAAGCTGTCCTCAGTCTCATCAGAGCTGTTGCAGGTGAAACCTCATACATACTCCATTTTTAATTTTGGTCTGCTTTTTGTCATAGCATGAATGAAATATACTTTCATTGTTATTTTTATTTGTTTCAGAACATGATGAGGTTTCAAGGGCTGCAATCAGTGAAAACCCAACTTGGTCTCCACTGGTAGTTCTACTTGGTCTAGTCAGCTGTTGTGTGCCTGTCACACTGAAGGCTGAACTCGTGCTGACTTTAGCTGCCCTTGCAAATGCGCCAGACACAGCTGCTGCTCTGTGGGTCTCAATGGAAGCAGCACAGATTATTTGCACCGTACCATCAACTAGTACTTATCAACCACGAGGAGTCCAAACAGAACTGGAAGATATTGAGTCTCCCGCTGAAGAGTTTCCCCTGACAAGAGCAGTGCTCAAACTATTGGATGTGCTCACAAACTGGCCTGTACCACGGCTACTCGGAGTGGGCTCGCGATCGCCGGGATTTTACCCTTACCTCAGTTATGTGCTGCATTCAGTCTTCTTGAAGGCGTGTTCTCGGAAGTACAAACAGCCTCAAGAGAAGTGGGAGATCCTTAACAGCTGTTTGGTACTGTTGGTTAAGTTCTTAAATCAGTATGATCCAGAACGTGAAGATTTCCCTGGAGCTGTGGTTGAACTTCAGGGTGGCGGCTCACCTCAAGTCACTCCACCCCCAGGCTTTCACCTCATGATTGAGTTACACTCCAAACCATCTGAACTGCTTCGCCACATTCTTGTTTTGCTTGAAGAGGGTTGCATCTATTTAGATTCCTATGCTCCCTTTGCTGGGAAGGATGCCCTGGAAGCTAGTATGCTGGGCTGTTTGCAGCTGTTGGAGCGTGCCCTAGTTTTACAACAACGATTCCACATACTTCATAGTAGTTTGAACTCAAATATGCTCTTGACTGGCCTCAGTCGTCTTTTACTCGGATTGAATTCACGTACCAAAAGCCCTGACTTCCTTGTGAGTGTTGGAAAATATGTTACATACAGCAGCTGGTTACCAAGGCATGCCTTGTCTGCAGTTCACATTCTTTTGGCTGTCTCTACCTACCCAACTGCTGCTGGTCAGCTGGTAGATATGTTCACTTCAAGCCCAAGTTTGGAACTTGAAATACGACATGGATTTGTTGAATGCCTTGAAGCAGAAGAAGACTTTGCAGATGATAGTGAATCAGGAGATGAAACCAGCATCATTTTGAAAACGAAAGAAGCCATCTTAAAGTTAATGCAATTGTGCTTGAACCAAGCTCCTCCAAACATATCCCACTATTTACTTGGGTTCCAGCGCACAAAGGATATCAGCAAAACAGTCTTTCAACAACCAGGTGTCATGGGCTTCCCTCGGACTTGTATGCATTCCTTGCTTGCTATGCTGGATTCATCGTTGAAATCAAGACATGTTCTCAGCTCCAAAAGCAACAATGAGGCAGCAGCACAGGCCCGGCTTCTAGAAGCTGCATATGGTCTCCTGTACAATCTCTGCGCTGGAAGCAAAACAGGCCAACCCGTACTACGCTTCTTGAGGACATCCAACAATTTCTTAGCAAGACATTTGGCAGCTCTGCCATTTTCAGGAAGAGGAACACACAATGCTGCTGAGCTGAACCAAATGTGCTGGTTGCTGAAGATGGTTGCCATTGAACTTAAGGCATCTGCTACACGCTCTCAACATTCAAATCTAGCATCCTTAGCTAGAATTTTGCTGAGTTCCCCTGATGAAAAAGCTCGTGGGACTCAATTTGAGATTGATGAATCTCCTCATCTTCAAGACATCACCAAACATTCTAATTTTGGGGAGTTCGATAGTAAACCTTATGACCGTCTGATGCTTAAGCTTCTTGCATTACTTGATACTTCAGCAGAGACTTTAGCAGCACCCAACTGGGAGTATTTTGAACCCAAGAAGGTGGAGGAGGTGAGTTTTTAATTCTCTACTTTGTCCCAGTCTTTCTCTTTTCAGAAGATGTAGCCCTAATCTCTTCATATATTTAATAACCGCAGGTCTTTGCCCAATGTGAAAACACAATGGCCCCTGGGTTGAAGTTGGTGGATGTGAAAAGGCTTCATCGTATTCTCATGGAAGAATTATCAATTGTGCAAGGAAACTCAACTGTTGGACAGAGGCAATCTATTGTAGAAGAAATCCAGGTCTGTGTTTTATTATATACCTAGACCAGAACTTCTGCATGGTGTAAAATTCATTCGTTTATTTTAAACAATATATTTTTCCAGACTGTGTTGAAGTATGCTTTGGAGCGAAACAAACAACGCACTCACACACATGCAAATGTCAAATTCATGGATGCATGGAGGCAAGCTGTTGGGGTACTGTTTATTGTGGTTCCTCTTGAAATTTTACCATGTCCTCGCCGCCTTCAAATCATACTAGATACATTACATTTGCTCATTAATAAGGTATGTTATTGGACTTCAAATTATTCATCGTATTTAAGTGACCTTGGTGACCATGCTGTTTTCTTTTTCTATTTACAGGTGGTGATGGGTCAAATGACCAATGAACTTTCCAATCTCACCTCAAGTGCATTCCTGCTGCTGCTAGAAAATTTGCGGCAGTCTTATGTGTTGGGTGAACGTGCAGAAAGTGGTAATGTCACGCTGGGTCAATCTCAGGCTAATGGAAGACAGGATGCTGACTGTATGGTTCTTGCTGGTGGTCTTGTTAACACAAGCATCTGCGAGGCTACAGCTCAGGGCGGCAGCGGTGGTGGAAGAGCTGTTCTAGAGGAGAACTCAGCCAAACTGAATGTTATTTTATCTGGAATCTTGCAGTGGATGCTTGGATCAGGTGATTAAAGACTATGGCTAGGATCCCTTTAAATACTACGGTAGTGTTGCTGATCTAATTTTTTTTTACTTAATATTTTTAGGTGTGGCATCTCAGAAACTCCGAGCAAATCTATACAGCTCTCTTCTTAGCTTTATGCACATTGTGTGCCTCCCTGAAAAATCTCGCTCTGAAGATTTTGGCTTTAATATGACACTCCCTGATCCTTCCATCTCTTTGGGTAGTGTGACAAGTGCATCTTTTAGTGCTACTGGAAGTCCAATCAGACAAGAGAGGAAGACACCTCTTCAAGCAAGTCTTGATCTAGTCCTCGGATTTGGTGAAGGTGTTGTTGATGTTATGTGCCATGATGGAACTGGAGGACTGGAAATATGCAAGGTAACTTCTTAATGCCCTGCATGTTGCAAAAAGAGTGGTTACTGACAATAATTTATTTCCTCGTACTTCCTGTATCAATTTAAAAAAAATTCAAGTTACATTTATTATTGCTGTTTCTTTACAGATGCTGGCACTTTCATGTTTAGACAAACTGATTGAATTGGACCCTCATTCATCTTGGGTGTCATTTTTGTCTGGGCGAGGCTACCTCAAACACTTTATTGATTCTCTCTTGGACTCTGATGGCCAGTTAGAATCAATGCTGCATGCTTCTCCTGAATCCCTTCGCCCCCTATATGTGTATGAAAGTAAAATGGCTCTACTTTGCCGCGTTGCCTCCACTCGAATGGGAGCTGAAATGCTGCTTGAACAGAAAGCACTTGCTGTGATGGCATCCATGAAAGTTTTTGACCATCACCCAATCATGCAAGCAGGGTATGTGAAATTTCTTAATATGTATCTTCTTTAAGTTTGCATGCCAAAACATAAAACACTTTTCCCCCTTTTTTTTGTTTTGTGTTGCAGAGCTCCTGATACATCTTCCTCTGCAGACTTCATCCCCTCTGTTGGAAATCGCTACATGCAAATACTTCTACCTGCTTTGCATCTTTGTGATGCTGTTTTAACAACATTAGGAATGGAAAATTTGTCATGTGTTGTTCAGGTTATACACTTCCTTCTCAGCCATGTGCAAACTGTCGGACTAGTCTTAGGCTCAGCCAGTCCTTTCCTGCCACTAAATTATCTGAAGGAACTTGTTCATGTAACTGCTGTGATAGCTCGATCTGCAAACCAAGGTAATTCAGGAAGCTGCTCCAGATAAACTACATTGGGCTACTTTTAAAGATCGACTTTATATTTATCATCTTATCTTTCTTGTGTCCATCCTTTCAGAGCTTTACTCAACACAACCTGATTCTCCTGTGGCTTCTGATAGAGATCGCAAGGCACATTTGCTCCGCATTCAAACCCTTATGCTTGCATTGTTCCCTCATTTTATAATATCAGAACCGTTGATGCGCAAGGTGAAAGGATTTGGATCAGCTTCTCAGGGGGATGCAAGGTGAGTAAGGACTATGGCTTAGTAAAATCCAGCATCTTTACCTACTCTGTCATATTTACTCAAATGCATTTCATTCTCGTCTGCAGAAGTACTGAAGAGAGCTTCCACAACTCTGAAGAGAGGGGAGAAGCTGTTCTCTATGTTCTGCAAGTTGCTGCTCATCTATTACTCTATGCACGAAATTTAACTGGGCAAACAGCTGCAGATCAGAGAAATATGCAGCCTCTGTTCAGACCTTCCATGGCTACTCAACATGCCCACTCTCACTCAATAGGTAATTGTTTCAACTTTCAATATGCAACTTTGACCTTATTGTTGGAGTAATCTTTTTCATTCTAATTATTTTTAATTTTCAGGGGATTATAGCAGCCGCAACCTTGGTCTAACTGGGGCTGGAGAGCGTGTGAGCGAAGCTCAGCCAGCTTTGGGTGTTGTTGTTGAACAGTTGGTGGCAAGTGTTGCTCATTATCAGAGTCAAAGAAGAGAACTGGAGATGTTGAATCGAAAATCTCATTCCGAACTCGGTCCTATGGATTTGCAAGAAGTAAGTTCTATCACCTTTCATTGTGCATGTATTAAGTCCTAAAAGTTGTGTGGTCTGTAATGGAATATTTTCTCAAAATTTTCAGTTTTTACCTGAGGGTGTGAGTGCTTTGGAGCAGCGGGCCCTGTCAGTGCAACAACTCAAAACACAAGTGCAAAGAAAGGAACGCGAGTTGGCTTTGACATCATACATCATTGACAATTGCATGTACTTAGTATGGCTGCATCTAGATTTCTATTTATACCGGGGTCTTCCTCACCCTAGATCTGGAGTTAATTTTGACAGCTCTGTGGTTCATGGTAAGTTAGTTGAGATATATTTGAGACTACATCATTTGAGCATTTTATCACAGTTTCATTTCATTGTTTGAACCATTTTCAGTTATGGGTGTTCCAGTGAACAGTGCATGGCCGGTATCTCGAGAAGATATAAGTTTAATGAAACAAAGCTTGGTTTCAAAGTTTAATGACAGCTTTAGTAAGGACTTAGTGGATACCAAGAAGGTAAATTTAATTTTTACTCCAATTGTAACTGATTTTATATCATGGTCATAAATTTTTCTAATTATTTATTCCTTTTTTCAGTATGGGACTGATATGGAGAAGGGCTTTATTGAAGCTTTGCTTCGCAGGATCAAGCGTCTTCTTCAATTTGTGCCAGTCAAGTAGTTGTGCTTACCTGTCTTAAGAATTCACCCTAATTAATTTCTTTAATGTAACCTTAATTTTATGGAAAAATCCTATTTCAAATTCTTATCTTAGTTCTTGGTGATGTATATAAAATTAAAAATTCTTATGTGTGCGCATTGTGGTATTGTGCTGGATGTGATTGATTTTTCATTTGTGGACTTTGAGACTGAACATGCTGTCCTCCATTCATATGAAATAAGTTGATGCAGTAATGTTGTAAATAAATAATTTTTAAGAAGAATAATTTTATTTATGATACAATGTTATCGGCGTCCTCTACTACTGCCTCATCCCATGGCCCATAGATATTTTCTTTGTGAATCTGCCACTTCAAAAACCAAATTGGACAAATCAAATTGACAAAACAAATTAGAAGAACAAAGAAAACTGTCATTGGAGGAGAAAGACTCCACAGAGCTCCTATTGTTACAGAGATGACTAGAATCAATATGCATAGTGATCGTCCAGCTTCAACCATCAAGAGAGGTAAAAGTACAAATGCCTCTACTGATAGAGAAAGTAAAACAAAGGCATGGAATGAGGAAGCTAATCTAGAAGCTAAGCAAATTGAACCAAAAATAGCTGCATTGAATGAAAGAGAGCTGCTGACTAAAGCTGGAGAGACACCGTAGTCTTTGAAACATAGATGAAGTAACATCATAAATACTGTCATGGCATAAATTGTATCAGTGCTAATGGTTTCAGTCAATGTTTTCAGGATAGGAGATGAGGCAAATCCTACAGATAAAAATATGGCAACCATTCTGGCATCTCTATAGAAACAGGTCCAGTAACCATTTTGAAAATCTGACTGGCTACGATACCACAAATATCCTAAAATGCTTCCTGCACAACTGTATACAAAAACCGTATTTGCATCGACTAACTGATTGTATAAATATACAAATACTATACTAAATAACACGACTATACAGATGGCATTGGTTACTCGTCCTGCTCCTAAAATGGCTTCACGAAAAGAAACTGTGTGAACATGGACATTTGTTCGAAGTTCTTGTAGGAACGAACTGTCCGTGTAGTTGTCAGGGTATTCTCTGCTCCCATACAAGATTTTCTTCCACGGCTTTTTGGGTGCTGTTGATTTTCCGCTACCTGCCAGATGTAAATTTAAAAGAAATAATTAGAATAGCACAGATAAAAGAAATAACAGAGTGGTACATGATTTACAAGTCGAATCCATCTTACCTTTGGTCCGAGCCATCACAGAAGATCACAGTATTCGTTAGAATTTTGAATGTCAGTTTATCTATGGAAAAATAACCTCCATCATGTAGATGGAAAGTACCAGGACAGCACTAGCTCATGGACTTTGAGAAGATCCATTTTCAAGAATCTATTCCTAAATGCAGTCGCTCCTAGATGACATGGTTGTCAGTGTGTTCAGCCAAATCAAATTTTGTTAAATGGCCCGCTCTCCCCTTTGAAACAAATCTACAACCGCGGAGGGTTGGCAAAATTTGTTCGATTTTGCGACAACCGTTTCGATTACTCGGTGAAATAAGTCGACACTATCGATTCGTCGATAGCACGAGTTCCGAAATTTCTTCCCTTTTTCTTCACCGGCCAGGAGCCATTTTAGCGGCGTGTGGTTACGGAAGTAAGGTACGAGTTTGTAAATAATTCGGAAGATTTGGGTGAAGTGCTCTCAATTGATGTTCGTAATTATCTCCAGAAGCAATCCTTTATGGGAAATAAAAGATTCGAATGCGACTCGTTTCTCAAACTGGGTTCCAGTGTAGTGGTTGACAAATCTGTTCCGTGGTGCCTCACGTCTCGCCACGTGGTGTAAATTATGTTTTGAACGTATTCTAGTGTTGGGCGTCTTCAACTGGTGTGTTTTAAGAGTTGCCATTTCCATTCCGGTTCATTTTAACTTCCTCTTGACGATCTTGTCATCCTCTCCACAACCTGAGTGTCTTGGGCTATAGGTTAGGTTGGCCCGGGGTGGCCTACGGACCCGTATTTTGATTGCGCCGTCTGCTTGAGAAACTGAACGCTATCGGTCAAAGGAGTTAATCTATCAGTTTCTGCGCTGTTGCTCATTCTGTTTCTTTCTTCGAGCAGTGAAGATGTTTGGCGGGCCTTCAATTCTTATTTTTTGTTTGCAGTATTCAAAATGACGTCCCACCTTTCTTGGATGGTCATCCGCAACAACAGCGCTTTCCTGTTGAAGAAGCGTGGTGTGAAGAAACCCTTCAGCACTGTAAGTATCACTGAAAGTGGGACACTGCTAGAGCATTCAATGACAGATTCACTTTACCTTAATTGTCTTTGTGCCTTCTGTTATTTAGGAGCCCCTCAACTTGACTGGCCTGAACTCCTACAAGTACAATGGTCTCGTCCACAAGAAGGTTCTTGGCATCAACGCCACTGCTGACAACAAGGGATTCGTTGTCTCCCACAAGAAGGCTAACAATGAAGTAAGTTTCTTTTCTGGACCCATGGATGTTACTGTTTTGAATGGCTATTAACTTATCTTTTGTATTGCAGCGCTTCCCCGTCAAGTCTCATGTTAAGACTACCTTCAAGGCTGGAGCTCGTCGCTCCCTGTACAAGTTGAAGAACTTTGTTGGAAAGAACAAGTACCGCCCTGAATTGGTCAAGGTAAGTTTTTTCACTTTTCTACTTAATTGTTGTGTTGCCCTGTAATTACCTTGGCCATATTCTTTTTGAATGGGCTCTATAGTGTCAAGATGTGTTACCTAGAAGTAACATGGCCTAATATAAACGTATCTAATGGGCATTTTTTTTTCAGCCTGCCCTCAGGAAAGCGAGTGCCATCCTCAGGTCCCAGAAGAAGCCCAAGGGTCCCAGGAAGGCGAGGGGCAAGAAGCAGGAGTAACTTAAAATAAAATTTCTATAAATTCAATGTGTTTATTTTCATACCTGACCTCACTATTTTAGTAATGATCACATGACATCAATGGTGCATTAGTTTTCAATTGCTTTGCAGAGTGGAAATGTCACATTTTACACAATGTTATTGTTTTGGAGAGAGAGTGAATTGCCTAATGTGTATTTAAGATTAGACTGGGCGCATGAGTGATTTTTTTTTTTTTGCTGGCCCAGACTGCTTGAGCGACCAATCTTATTATCAACTTTGGGAGGCTTTTCTTAAAATTAGCTACCGCACATCAATTGCCCTTGGTTTTTCACTATTTTGTACAAAAGTCAAATATTTTTAGAAAGACTTTGTTTTTATGACACATCTGGTGCATCTAGTTACTATCTTATCTCTGTCACAAACTTACAATGAAGTAAATATTATCAGATTTATTTTTCCCAAGTAAGATTCTCAGATACAGTTTATTTACACGCAAAATTCACTTCCATATTGGATCGAGACGGTTCTCATACTACGTGCATTCAAGGGCTGTCAGCCTTCGTGCCCACGGCGCGTCGCTACCCCGTGCCTCCGGGCGGCTGCGGCTCTACTCCGCGCGCCATCCCGTGCGACGCGCCTGTCGATGTCGATACTCCACTCGCGGTGGGGAGGTGTCAGCATCTGGTCGCTCGACACACTACCAAAACTGGATGGGTGGGTGGGAAGTAGAACCAAGTAGAACGACTCCCAACGTCCAAATAGGGTTGCCCACAGTGGGTTGCCCGGCGTCGTGTCAGCCAGGGCCCTGGGCCTGTAGTGCTGTCGCCTACCGTCGGTTAGCTGTCAGAGCCTAGAGTCCAGTGGCCATAATTCCAGTGACGACACGACATAATAGCGCCTGTAGCACTGCAGACAAATTTCGACAGTCGTTTCCGTCGCCTCCCCTCGTTTTCCTCGCATTCATGGGGCATCCCTTAGGTGCGACAGAGAGAGAGAGAGGGAGAGAGAGAGAGAGAGAGAGAGAGAGAGAGAGAGAGAGAGAGAGAGAGAGCGATGAAAATGACTCGGACTCAGCGGTTCATTCTGGCTGGTGAGTGAATCCTAGCGTTTCGCCGGTGCGGTGCAGTGCAGTGCAGTGTGAAGGAAGACTGAGCCCAGATGACTTTCGCCAGTGGGCAGATTCCGAACCGGGTTTTCTTCACTCTGTCTCTTTCGCGCCCTGCATGGGTCGCCCCACGCGTGCGAGAGAGACAGAGCGATGAAGGCACTGCACTGTTCGGAATCAGCCTCCGGGGTGAAGTGTCAGCGTGCCGGTCTGCCGGTCCGCGTGGCGGCGCGGCTGCAGACTGATTCCGAGAGTCGTCTTCGTCGCTCTGTCTCTCTCGCACTCATGGGCGTTCTGTACACGTGCGAGAGAGACAGAGCAACGAAAACGGCTCTCGGAATCAGTCTGCAGGCTACGGGGGCGATCGGCGGACAGGCCCGCCATGCCCGCCCTGGTGGCGCCAGGGGCCCGCGCCGGCCCGCGTGCGCGCCAGCGGTGGGGCGGGGAAGGCGTCCCCGGACCCCGCCGCCCCCGCGCCGCCCCCGCGCCGCCCCCCCGCCGCCCCGCGCGCCCCCGGAGCGCCGCGGCGAGGCGAGTCTGCCGCCGCCGCCGCCCCGCCGGGTTCTGCCCGGTTCTGGCGGGAGAGAGGGCCGAGAGGGCCCCGGCCGCCAGTCTGCCTCTGTCAGCCTCTGCGCGATGCGGGCGGCCCGGGCGCGCGCGTCACCCCCGCCTCCCCCCAGCAGCGCGAGCATCGCGAGGACCGCCCTCGGGACCGTCGGCGCCGGGCGCGCGTAGCCCAGCGTAGCCCAGCGTAGCCGCGCGTCAACGCCTTCACACTCGGCACGTGTCGCCACGCGTGACATCGCGTCCGCGCCTCCGTGACGACCGCGACACTGCGAGTGGTGAGAGTGCGGTGTGGGGGTGTGGAGGCCCCGAGAGGCCCCGAGGGGGCGTGAGGGTCCCGGCGCCCCGATGCAGCATGCCGGCGCTATGGATAACTCGCCGTGACGCCGCGGCCCCGACCCCAGGGGTGAGTAGTCCTACGCGGGCCAACGTCCCAACAACAAACCCGCACACACTCTCTCTCACACACACAACATTTGCCGCTTTAAGAAAAGGTGGCTGAAGTTTTAAACGCAGAACACTCTGGAAAGACGGATACAATTTCCACGATAGCAAAATAGGCAAACGGTTCGGGTCGGGCCTTCCTGCACCGGACTTCCCTGACCGTGACGAGGCGAGAGCTCTCGCTGGCGATTGATGGGGTTATTTGGGGGCCTTTGCTTGCCTGCCTTTGGCGTGCCCCGCAGCGATAGTGCGTGGGCCAATATCACGCAGTTTTGCACACATTCACAGAGGGAGCGCGCGTAGCGCACACACCTTGGGGCGAGGGAGGGGGTGGGGGCGAATACGGCGGGGCAAGATACATACATGGCAAATGAGATGGATGCGGGGGCACCAGGGCGGCGAGTCGCCAGCAGCGACTGATTCCGTCGCCCTGTCTCTCTCGCACCCATGCGGGCGTCCCTAAGGTGCGAGAGAGACAGGGCGATGGAAGAGTCCGCGTGGAGGGGAGGGACGCCACCGAGGGAGCCGTGAAACGTTTGATGCGACCGTGCGGCCGTGCGGCCATGCGGGCGCTAAACTCCCTTTAAACGCGGCAAAATAGCGTCGTCGCAAAGCACGGCGGCACGGGCCGCGTTACTGCCGCCCCGCGAGGCGGGCACGCCCAAGGCACGCCCAGGGCACGCCGTGACCAGGCCGTGACCCGCGGGTCGCGTCACAGTGTGGCCACGGCAGTGTGACGGACCATGACGCCAGCACGACGGACCGTGACCAGTCGCAGCGACGAAGAGGGCTGGAAGGCCGGCGCTGGCGGCCAAAACGCAAGACGCGTTTTGAGCTCCAGAGTCGCTAAATCGGACCCGAACCGAGCGTGTGGCCCCACCAATGGATTGCTCTCCGAACGAGGAATCCATTGGTGGGGTCACACGTTCGGTTCGAGTCCAAGTTTAGCGACTCTGGAGCTCAGAACTTGTCTGGAGTTTTGGCCGCCTGCGTCGGCTGGCCCACTGTGCACCGTGACAAGGTCGCGCCAAACCGTGACAAGGTCGTGACAGACCGTGACCAACCCTTGACGCGCCAGCGAGGTGGATAACCCCCAGAGCAGCCAGTCCCGTCCGCCCCGCCGGCCAAGCAGGCCAAGGCGACCCACCCCGCCTAGGGCAAGCCCCGCCAGCCCTGCGCAAGCCGTACAGGGCTCCGAGGGCTGGTAGGGCTGGTAGGGCCACTGCAAGGGCGCAAGGGCAGGGCAGCAGGGCATGCCAATTCGCTAACGCCGCTGGAAAGTTGTCGCTGGCAGCGCGTCTCGTCTCATCTTAATGGCGCAGTTGCCCTCGCTGTGCCTCGCTGGGGGAAGGGATGGGGGCGCCCGAGCCATCACAGCACTTTGGGAGAGGCTACATGCACACCCCACACCCAACACAGACACAGGGGCTCACACACACACACACAGCGGGCCATCTCCAGCAAGGGTCCAAAACCAACAGCATAAAGCATTGGTGCAGTGTGGCAGCCAGTGGCCCGCACTGGCCACTGAACGAGAACAGCAGCAACAACAACAAAAACGACAACAACCGTCGTCGCCTCTGTATCTATCTCGGCCAGCAGCAGCGTCCAGCCGGACTGCCCTCTGGACCGCCCCAAGAAGAGCATCGCCTTCTCTGGGGGATCGCGGGGTGGGGGGGAATTTGGTCGGACCGTTTGCCACGTTTTGTGCGGCGAGCCGCGCCTCCCGGGAAACCCCAACGGAAACGGCCAAATTAATATGCCCCCTTGTGGCACGGGAACCAGTAGGAGGAGAGAGAGAGAGAGAGAGAGAGAGAGAGAGAGAGAGAGAGAGAGAGAGAGAGAGAGCGACGAAGTTCCGGACGAGGCTGCAGGAGCTGCGCCGGCAGCGGTAAACCCGGCGCACCGTGTGCCCGCCTGATTCCGAGAATCATTTTCGTCGCTCTGTCTCTCTCGCACCCATGGGGCGTCCCCTATAGGCGCGAGAGAGACAGAGCGACGAAGACGACCACTGGTCCTCCTTGTTTTCCAATCTTCCCCCGCGCCGCAGTACCACGGTGCCCCAGGTGCCCCAGGTGGCCGACAAGGAGGCTCGACGTTGTATTCCCGGAATGCCGGGTTCAAGTCCGGCGGATTAGGCCGTGAGGTGCAAAGCCGCGGGTGTCAAGAGCTGTTTCGAAAAATGGCTCGGCGGAGAGCGCGGCCCGCTCTTTGAACCGTTCCGCCAGGGCGGCGGGAAACGCGTTTCTCTTAGTCCAAAATAATGATTGTGTCTCGGTCCCTCCTACACTACTCGCGCGTCTTCTCGGGCATCGGGATCCCGAGACCAGGATGAGAGGCGGAACTCGGAACTCTGCAGACTCCGCAGACTACTTGCGAGGCGCCCTGGCCAAGGCCCCCGCCAAGGCCCCCGCCAAGGCCCTGGTCCCGGTAAGGACTTGAAACATGGTTTCCCTTCGACGACTGCGCCGAGCCCGGCCGAGCCGTGATGCGAGAGCCCGGCCAACTTGTACGGCAGTGCGGCCTGTGGCCCGGCCAGCCCCGGGGCTCGGCCCGGCTCGGCCAGACTGGAGTCCTAGTGGGGGCGCTCAGGGCTGCTTAGGAGGCTCCGGGCCGATTTTGGCTCCACGCCAGGCATTTGGGCCATTCCGACCTCTCCCATCGCCGGGGCCCTTTCCAATGCGGAGACCCTCCAACCTCCTCCGAAGCCTCCCCCACCCCCCCTCCCCCACGCCACTCCAGTAAATTTCCCGATGGAAAGCTTTCGCGCCAAAAGAAAACATCCGCAAACAAGCGCATCCACTCACTCCTGCCCCCTGACCGGGGTGGGGGTGCAACGGAAATTTCCCGCCCGAGGCGGAGAATAAATTGTCCACTCGAGGCAAAACGGAGGTTTCCCGACCGCGGAGGGAGGGAAATTTCCCGCTGGAGCGTGGAGGGAAAATTCCCGCCCGAGGCGGGCAGGAACCTGCACGCGAACGCGCGGCCGGGCGGGCGGGCGAGAGGCGGTACGGGAAATTTCCCGGCGTGCGGCGGGATTCCGGCGCCGAAAGGAGAGCCGCCTTTGCGGGCTTCGCCTGGCTTTGCCGCCGCCGACGGCAAGGCAAGGCGGCAGGCGACGCTGGGCGACGCACCGCCATTATTGCACATTCCTGGGCGCGCCGCGCCCGCCTCAAATAATTGTTGTCGTTCCTGGCAAACTTTAGATTGTTTCCCGGCCGATCACCGGTTCGGTTCCTCCGGTTCGGGGCGGCGGCAGTGTGCCACGCACTCTGTCCCTGACGCGCGGAGGACAGCGCGCCATTTCTCAGCCCTTTCGCTCCGCCTGTCTTTAATCCGATGCGACCCGCGCGGCCCGCGACGCGACGCGACGGGGAAGGGGCGTCTCTGTGTCGGTCGTGAGCCCGCCCCGCCCCGCCCCGCCCCGCCCCGCCCCGCGTGGCGGCGTGGCGGCCCGAGTGTGTGGACCAGACGAGAAAATACGCTCGTTATAGCAGGTTTCATGGCGACGTACGCTTAATCCCTGCCCGGCTGGCCGCGCTGGCCGCGCTGGCCGGGCGCTAGAACGGCCCCGCTGATGGGGCCACGGCCCGGGCCAGGCGGTTTAGCAACGCCATTGCCGACCACGAGCGCCACGGGCGCGGCGTGCCCAAACTGCCCACCACTGTGCATCGGGGGCCTTTGGGCCTTTCTGGCCTTTCGGGCCTTTCAGGGCCCATTGCTCCGTACTGCTCTGGAGTTTGATCGGATGGGCTCGACCGCCGCACACTTTTCCCCGCTTTTCGAGACTCCGCCGCGACCGCCGGGACTCGAACCTGGGACTCTGGGCCAGCCCAGCCAGGCTGAGGTCGGCCACCCTTTCAACACCGGCCGGCGCCCGTGCCTGTTTTCTTCAGGCTCTTGCCACTGTCTCTCTCGCACTCGTGGGGCGGCCCGTGAGAGCGCGAGAGAGACAGCGCGACGAAAGCTTCGCTCGAATCCGGCGGAGCGCCTGCGGTGCGCGCCATAGGCAACCCGCCGCACGGCGCTGCGTTGAACCCGACGGGTTGCCTATGGCGAGGACGACAGGCGCTCGCCGTCACGGCGACGCCGTGGCCGCCGCGCTCGCCGTCAAGTGTGTGATATTGTCTCGGACCCCCCGCTCCGTTTGGGGCCGCTGGAGCGAGCTGGAGTGGGCGTGTGAGGGGCGTGGCGGGGCGTGGCGTGGCGGGGCGTGGCGTGGCGTGGCGCGGCGGGGCGGGGCGTGGCGTGGCGTGGCGCGGCGCGGCGTGGCGCGGCGTGGCGCGGCGGGCGCGGCGGGCGCGGCGGGGCGTGGCGGGGCGTGGCGGGGCGTGCTTCCTGGAGTGAAACCGATTGCAGACCTCGTCGCCGAACGAGTGTCCAGCAGCAGGGAAGCTACACAGTCGCAAGCGAGGCGCTACACTGAAGTGAAAGCAGGCACTGTGATAAAAAGGCAGTCTGACTGGCAGACGGAGCCGCAGAGGGTGCGTGGCTCACACACGGGCAGCAAGCCGCTCCGCCGAGTCCGAAAAATGATAAAAAATAATGACTGCTCCCCAGCCTGCGTGCTTTCCTTCCACACGGCCCGCATGATGCCCCACTCGCCTAATGGTGTCTTCGGTTCGCCTCTTTCCCACAGTGGATGCTGCTCCTTTGTGATTCGCCCCAATCAATAACCGGGTTCAGCCGGGCTCCGTTTGAGTTACTTTTTTCTGGGTCACCGGGATCCTGTTTCGGCCGTCCAACACGCGCGCTCTAAAAGCATCATGGTCGAAATTCTGTATATTTAACACACTCGAAAAGTATGGTGAAAATTCTTTTTCATATGGTGGTGCAGCTGACTTTATAGCTTACCTCCGAAAATTTATCGTAATACCTTCAAAGTAATTCGTCGCATTTCTTTCGTATCATGAAGAAAATCTGCACTTTAGTATGTTGCTGCAGCCTTTCGCCGTATCAGAG